GGGGATCGTCTTCCTGGGCGTGCTCACTCGCACGCAGAACCGGTGCGGCCGTGTTTAGATGTGGGCCCGGGAGCCCCAGGCCGAATCCCAGCTCCGCCACGTTCCTGGAGCCTCGGTTTTCTCTCCTGTGAAATGGGGAGAATCAGGCTGGTCATCGTTCCCCCCGCAGAGCCAGACTGGGAGGGCGCCCGCGCAGAGGGCTGTGGAGATCCCACGGCGGCAGGTGGTGGCTGTCCCCTGGTAACCGCGGACGCTGTGCCCGGCAGGTCATCACCGGAGGCCACTATGACGTGGACTGCTACGTGGAGGACCCCCAGGGAACGTCATCTACCCGGGAGACCAAGAAGCAGTACGACAGCTTCACGCACCGGGCGGAGGTCAAGGGCGTCTACCTGTTCTGCTTCAGCAACGAGTTCTCCACCTTCTCGCACAAGACGGTGTACTTCGACCTGCAGGTGGGCGAGGAGCCCCCCATCCTGCCGGACATGGGGAACAGGGTCACCGCCCTCACCCAGGTGAGTGGACGGGCACAGCCCCTCGCTGTGGCCCTGCTCCCGGTCGCGCGGGTCCTGGCGTGGGCTTGGCCTCTGTCTCCACGTCCACCCCGGAGGACGCCTGTTTCTCCTTCCGGTCCTCCTTTCCGACCGCTCCCGGCTCCCTGCAGGGCTCTCCTCTGACACCTGCTCCCTCCGCTCCCTCCAGCCCGCTCAGGCTGTCCCGTGGTCCCTCACGCCCACTTGGGCTGTCCCGTGGTCCCTCACCATTGCCTGGGCTGTCCCATGGTCCCTCACCCCCCGCTCTGCCGTCCCGTGGTCCCTCACCATGCCCCGGCCGTCCGTGGTCCCTCACCCCTGCCTTGTGCCGTCCCATGGTCCCTCCTCACCCCCGCTCGTGTCTTCCTGTGGTCCTTCACCCCCGCCGGGCCGTCCCGTGGCCCCTCAGGCCGACTTTCTGGGCCCTTGTGCCACGTGCCTGTCTGCTCACTCGGTGCCTGTGTCCTGCCGCGTGTGGTGGTGTACGAGCGAAATGTTAGCACAGGCCTCTGCGACATTGGCGTGTGCTCTCTGCGTGTTGAAGGCTCAGCACATGAAGGCTGGACCCTGTCTCTACTAAAAAAAATAGAAAGGAATTAGCTGGACGGCTAAAAATATACATAAGAAATCAGCCGGGCGTGGTGGTGCATGCCTGTCGTCCCAGCTCCTTGGGAGGCTGAGGCAGGAGGATCGCCTGAGCCCAGGAGTTGGAGGTTGCTGTGAGCTAGGCTGACGCCACGGCACTCACGCTAGCCTGGGCAACAGAGCGAGACTCTGTCTTCAAAAAGACAGTGAGACCTGCACAGAGCAGAATGACACAGGGGTCAACAGCTGAAGTTGTTCTCCTGGCCTGGAGAAGGCCGTGGGGAGCTTCCCCCGTGGTGTGACCCAGGAATGCGGGCTCTCTCTGTCTCCTCACCCTCCTGCCTTCCCTCAGGGCTCCACAGCCTCCAACCCTGGCCACCGGAAGGAGGAGGGGTGAGGAAGGCCAGGCTCCGTAGTCACACACGGCACCCCTGCTCACGTGGCCTTGGTGAGAACGAGCCACGTGGCAGCTCCGGGCAGAGGGAGGGCGGCGGGCGTGGTCCTGCAGAGGAATGGGCACGTGGCCGCCTCGGAGGCCACCTGGGAGGTAATCGGGCTCCCTGGGGACTGGCTCGGAGACCCGCCGCTCAAAAACACAGTGACCCCAGACCACACCCCCCCCCCGCCCTCCCCCCCCGGGGGCCGGCCAGGAGCTTCCCGGGCTGGGATTCCGGGTGGTTTCCCTGCGGCCTCAGCGCCCCAGAGCGTGAGGCGTGGCACAGAAAGGACTCGGCTCTCTGTTGCCACATGACTGCCCCTCAGGGCCCAGGGAAACCTGGGGACAGAAGCAGCCACCTGTGGCCGTGTTTGCTCCAGACAGAGCCAGAGCGTCCCGGGTCTTTTCAGGAGGCCAGGGTACCTTCCGGGTTGCTCTCCGAGGTGGCCGCACGCTCCACGCCTCTGCTGGGCTCGCTCACGCACGCCGGCGGCTTCCTTGGCGCCGTGTGCCACCCGCCCTGAGCGGGTGCAGCTTAGAGCTGCATCGTCCAGGGCAGTGGCCACTGTCTGCGTTTGCCCGTTTAATCGAAATGAGATGAGAAGTTCACTGCCTCGTGCACCATAGCAACGTTGCAAATACCCGGTCGTCACTGGTGTCTAGAGACCGTGCACGTACAGTTCCACCGGGCAACGCCAGGGCGGAGCCTGGCCACGTGGCTGCCTTTGGCAGAACCGGCCACACACGCGGGTAAGATCTTCCGCAACTGACGGCTCTGCTGGCCGCTGTTGAAATAGCCTCCGTGCGCAGGGTTTTGTGTTTTTTATTTATTTTTGAGACAGAGTCTCACTCTGTTGCCCAGGCTAGAGTGAGTGCCGTGGCGTCAGCCTCGCTCACAGCAACCTCAAACTCCTGGGCTCAAGCGATCCTCCTGCCTCAGCCTCCCGAGTAGCTGGGACTACAGGCATGCACCACCATGCCCGGCTAATTTTTTCTATATATATTAGTTGGCCAATTAATTTCTTTCTATTTTTAGTAGAGACGGGGTCTCGCACTTGCTCAGGGTGGTTTTGAACTCCTGACCTCAAGTGATCCTCCCGCCTCGGCCTCCCAGAGTGCTAGGATTACAGGCGTGAGCCACCGCGCCCCGCCCCGGGGGTTTTGTAAGTCCCTGAAAGCCGAGCTGAAGGAATTCCTCTTTTACCGCAGACAGTGAGTGGGTGGAGAAAAGGCTTAACCACTTCGGACGGCACCGGCCGCGACACCTCGCCCACGGCCGGCACTCGCAGCCGCACGGCGGTCTGTGCTGGCGGTCTGTGCTGCGCATTGACGAATCCGTTCTGCTTGTGTGACGAGGAAAGCTTGAAAGCACTGAGAGCTTGTTTCACTTTACAGGCAGCTTTGCTTGTCATGTAAAGATCAGAGTAGGTAACACACACATATATGTTTTCATGACGTTATTTTTAAGTGTGCACAATTTTATTTTGATAAATGAAAAATTAGAAAAGTCACATCAGGGCTGTCGGCTACAGTCGACGCTCGGCTGTATGTGTTCATATCACGGCTGTTGGCTACAGTCGACGCCCGGCTGTGTGTGTTCATCTGTGGCTGTGGACTACAGCCTATGCTCGGCTGTGCGCGTTCATCTGTGGCTGTCGACTACAGTCGACGCCCGGCTGTGCATGTTCATCTGTGGCTGTGGACTACAGCCGATGCTCGGCTGTGCGCGTTCATCTGCGGCTGTGGGCTGTAGTCGGTGCTGGTACCGAAGTGGTTGAGGAATCGGGTCCACAGGGGGGAGATGCTTCCCCGGAGCCTGAGCGTGGGAGTTTGATTTGTTGCAGGAAACAGTGAGTTTCCCGCCGCCTCGGACCTCTCAGAACCTCTTCCCTTCGCTCTGCTCGGCCTCGGAGAGGCGGCTTCTTCCTCTTCTGTAGCGTGGGCTCCTCTGCCCCGACCTGGCTGTGCCTGCCGTCGGGAGCTGCTCCCCTGGGGCCGGCGTTCGCTCAGTCGAATCCGGGTCCGGGAGAGGAAGGATAGGTGGAAGGTTCCGGAAGGTGCCAGAAGGTGCCGGAAGGTGCCATCCCTGGTGGGGTACCCTTTGAGGAGCCCCGGGAGCCGGTTACCCTCGGGGCGCTGTGGCCATAGACTGGGGGTCGGGGGTCTCAGGTGGGCGTGGGTGAGTTTTCTTGGGGGGTCAGGAAGCTTCACAGGGACAGCTTTAGCTAAACAGGGGGGCAGGGTGGGGGTGGCCCAGGAGAGAGCGGGTGGGATCAGCGGGCTGTGACCCTGCACGCCTCCCCCCGCTCCTCTTTGTGTGGCCGGGACTCCGTGGGCAGCTGCTGCCTCCCTCCCCCAGCCTCATGCAGGTCCCCGGGGGGGCCGGGCGCCACATGCTCCGGCACCAAGATAAATGCTCGGGTGCAAGAGCGGGGTCCAACCACCGCGGCCGGGCGGGGGTTCAGGCCAGTGGATCGCGTGAGCTCCGAGTTCAGGGACCGAGTTCCCAGGAGGGGGCGCGGCCGGGCCGGGGCTAATTCAGGGCAGCCGGGCTGGAGGCACCCTACAAACGGGGGCGGGCGCCGGCGGAGGCTGAGGGTCTCTGGCCAAGGTCAAGGCCAGAGGGGCCACCCCAGTGGCGGTCTGGGCAGGACGAGGGTTTCCCCGGCTGCTGTGAGGGCAGCCCCGCCCTGCCTTCGGGCCTGGAGGCACATAAGGAACTGGGCACTTGAGCAGCGGGGCCTGGGGGGGTGGGCGTGGCGCCGGAGGAGTTTGTCCACGGCCACGCTAGCGGGTGGTGGAGATGGGGGAGGGGTGTCGGCGTGGGAATGGGGGAGGGGACGGTGCCCTGTGTGGGAGTGGGGGAGGGGACGGTGCCCTGTGTGGGAGTGGGGGAGGGGTGTCGGCGTGGGAATGGGGGAGGGGACCATGGCCTGCATGGGAGTGGGGGAGGGGATGGTGCCCTGCGTGGGAATAGGGGAAGGGACAGTGACCCGTATGGGAGTGTGGGAGGGGACGGTGCCCTGCGAGGGGTAGGGGAGGGGACAGTAGCCCGCGAGGGGTGGGGGAGGGGATGGTGGCCCGAGTGGGAATGGGGGAGGGGACAGTGGCCTGCATGGCAATGGGGGGGACGGTGCCCCGTGTGGGAATAGGGGAGGGGACGGTGGCCCACGAGGGATGGGGGAGGGGACGGTGGCCCGAGTGGGAATGGGGGAGGGGCGGTGCCCTGTGTGGGAATGGGGGAGGGGACGGTGGCCCGCAACAGGGGTGAGTTGGGGTGACTCAGAGACCGGCTGTCATGGTGGGGCAGCGACCACAGTCCTTGTGAGGCTCTAGGACCCTGGGTGGCCCTGGCGGGGATGACAGTCCCAGGCCAGGAGGCTGGGGACCAGACCCCGGGGAGACAGGGCTGTGAGGCAGGGGCTCTGCTTGTTTTCCCCAGGACGAGGGGGGGCTGGAGGTGCCCCACTGAGGTTCTGGGGTGCAGGCCGCAGGGTTTGCTTTTATTTTTATTTTTATTTTTTTTTTGAGACAGAGTCTCGCTTTGTTGCCCAGGCTAGAGTGAGTGCCGTGGCGTCAGCCTCGCTCACAGCAACCTCCAACTCCTGGGCCAAGCGATCGCCTCACTGCCTCAGCCTCCCATAGTAGCTAGGACTACAGGCAGCGCGCACCATGCCCGGCTATTTTTCTATGTATTTTAGTTGTCTGATTAATTTTTTCTTTTATAGTAGAGACAGGGTCGCTCTTGCTCCAGGCCTGGTTCGAACTCCTACCTCGGGCGATCCTCCTTGCCTCCGGCCTCCCAGAGTGCTTGGATGACGGGCAATGAAGCCACCACGCCCCGCCGGGCTTGCTTTTTAGACTGGCCCCGTGTAGCGGCTGATCTTGCGGGAGGAACCAGTGCGTTTCTGTGGCCAGGGCGGGAAAAAGTCCCCCGGCCCCCCGTGGTCTTGGCGGTGTGTTGATTTGGAGTCTCCCCGGGGCCCTGTGCCCAGGTCCTGCCTG